CCACCTTTGTAGTACGAAACCCCGACAAAAAGACGTTTCCCTGTGCCTCTGACTAAGGCACATTTTCCTTTCTTAGCTGTACACAGGACATAGTCAGGCTCTACACAACTCACTTGTTGGAGGAAGGTAGTCGTTCCCGTAACTTCTACTTTGCACCGACCCAGAAAGTCGTACTGTTACTAGGGTTTGTGTGCGGACCGTTGCTTCCGTCACCCGAAGCATTCTTCGTAAACTTCCAGGACCTCACCGGATCGGTCAGAGGTTCTAGAGTTGGGGTATCTTTTAGAAACCTCCCTCAACTTTCAGGCACAACGGGTCGCTGTCGGGGTTTTGTAGTGACGAGATGTCTCCCTCTAGACGTACCTCCTTACCCGGGTTATATGGTCGTTGTCACACACCTTTTGGAACACTTTCTGATCATCTTTTGCAAAGCTGGAGACAGTAACGGTTTGTTTCCCATATATTGTTTCATAACTGTCCCGAAGCTGTAATTCCGACCGGGCTACCGGGCCCCGGTGAAGATATAAATGAGGCCCGGTACTGGAGTGGACGACCAACGGGCTAGGCCACGTTAGATAATACGGTCATAGTACGTCGAGCGCCTAGGGTCATTACGTCCACTGGGCTGTCATTTTGATTTGTAATAGAGATTGATCAAGTCCATCAAACTCTCCATTAATGTTTATGCGATAGCACACTATAAGGATTGGACTTGCACACACAAAGAACGTAAGGCGAGTCGACGTAAGACACTAGTACGTCCGACGCACAGCGTGAGCAGTCGTCGTCGAGCTTAAGAGAGAGAGGCAGTCTAATCTGAAGTGAACGCAAATACAGGTATAACTAGTCTAGGTCGATCAAGATCGATTACTATACTGAGTGGACGAATAATTTCTTGGCACTGGATTTGTTATTCTACAGCGATACGTTGACCCACTACGTGGTTTCATAACGGTCGTAGATACGTAAACGCTGTTTTCACAGTAGGTATGGTGTTCTTTGGATGCAACTCAGCATTCTTTCTCCTCCAAAACACGTCTAGTTGAGTTTTTTACTCAAAAAAGTTTCTATTTTGGTTTTCATCTGACCATATGACATTCTCCCAATCCTCTTCTGGATCATCTAAATGCTCTCTAGCAAACTTCAGACGGGCCTGGACATGTACCGACTTAAGCAGGGGGACACGTCTGGCACTGCAGGATTTGAGTCCCTGGCGGCGTAGTGTGTTACTGATGGTAGCCTTTGTTACTTTGGTCCCAGCTCTCTGCAGGTCATTGACTAGGTCCCCCCGTGTGGTTCTGGGATTTTTGCTCACCGTTCTTGTGATCATTTTGACCCCACGGGGTGAGATCTTGCGTGGAGCCCCAGATCGAGGGAGATTATCAGTGGTCTTGTATGTCTTCCATTTTCTAATAATTGCTCCCACAGTTGATTTCTTCACACCAAGCTGCTTACCTATTGCAGATTCAGTCTTCCCAGCCTGGTGCAGGTCTACAATTTTGTTTCTGGTGTCCTTTGACAGCTCTTTGGTCTTGGCCATAGTGGAGTTTGGAGTGTGACTGTTTGAGGTTGTGGACAGGTGTCTTTTATACTGATAACGAGTTCAAACAGGTGCCATTAATAAAGTTAACAAGTGGAGGACAGAGGAGGCTCTTAAAGAAGAAGTTACAGGTCTCTGAGAGCCAGAAATGTTGTTTGTTTGTAGGTGACCAAATACTTATTTTACCGAGGAATTTACCAATTAATTCATTAAAAATCCTACAATGTGATTTCCTGGATTCTTTCCCCCCATTCTGTCTCTCATAGTTGAGGTATACCTAGGATGAAAATTACAGGCCTCTCATCTTTTTAAGTGGGAGAACTTGCACAATTGGTGGCTGACTAAATACTTTTTTGCCCCACTGTATATGTTTATCAAAAGTTATAGATTGGGCATCTTCTCTTTTCAACTCAAAATGAACAAAAGATGCTTTTAGATTAAAGCATCTTTTTCCCACCACCTTTTTCTAAGCATTCAGTTACTGGTTTTCATTTCACAATGTACATCAGCCAGGCCACTATTCATACATTTTGCCGCAGACTGACTATAGCCATTATTTTTATTTTTATTCCCACAGCTCCACCTCTATCTCATCACCTGGGGAAACGATGCCCAGAAGTGACAGTGCTGACAGCCAGTCTCAGGCCATCCAGGAAGAGCCCCTCCCATCCACCAGCAATGAGGACGAGGACCCATTTGCAGGTAAAAATAAATTGCTATCATACTTTTTCTGTTGATTTTTCCCATTTTAAATAAAATGTCACTTAAAGCTCATATGTTTGTCTTGGCAGGCATTAGTCTGCCTGAGGGTGTGGATCCTTCCTTCCTGGCAGCTCTTCCTGAGGACATACGCCGAGAGGTGCTGCAAAATCAGCTCGGCATCAGACCACCCGCTCGCCCTCCAGCTGCCACCACTCTGCCTTCCACTGCTCCACCTGTACTGGGAGGCCCAGGGGTCACAGAAGTCAGCCCTGAGTTCCTGGCGGCCTTGCCACCTGCCATCCAGGAGGAGGTGAGAGACTCTTTGCAGAAATTATTATAACATTACATATGACAAAATCATTATTTTTAGACTTGCCAACTGTAGAAAAAATGTAAAACATCTTTCCAAATAAATAAGTAACGGATAATCAGTTTTCTAAATAAGCATGTTGTTGTTTGTTTTAGGTTCTTGCCCAGCAACGAGCAGAGCAGCAGCGCAGGGAGCTGGCCCAACAGCCCACACAGGGAGACACCCCTCTGGATCCTGTCACCTTCATCCAGACTCTGCCCTCGGAGCTCCGGCGAAGTGTCCTGGAGGACATGGAGGACAGCGTGTTGGCCGTCATGCCTCCGGACATCGCTGCTGAAGCAGCCGCTCTGCGTCGTGAACAAGAGGCACGCCAGAGGCAACTGATGCACGAAAGGCTGTTTGGCCATAGCTCATCTTCAGCCCTATCTGCCATCCTGCGCTCACCAGCCTTCACCAGCCGGCTAGGAAGCAATCGTGGCGTCCAGTACACCCGACTTGCTGTGCAGAGAGGAGGCACATTTCAGATGGGGGGAGGAACAAACCACAGGTGAGAAAACTGTGATCCAGTTGCCTGACTTGAGAAATCATATTATTTGGCTTTTTCTGTAGTATATAGAATTTAGCATGATGGACTTGAACATGTCATAGGTGGTTTTGATCAAATCCTGCTGCGCTTGTTGTGACAAAAACTAATATATGTTATCTTTGGATTTTCTCAGACCATCCAGCTCCAGTGTAGACTCCTTGTTGCGTCTGCGCGGTCGGTTGCTGCTGGACCACGAGGCCCTGTCCTGCCTGCTGGTTTTGCTGTTTGTGGATGAACCGAAGCTCAACACAAGCCGTCTGCACCGTGTGCTCAGGAACCTCTGCTACCACTCTCAGACCCGGGGGTGGGTCATTCGCAGCCTGTTATCCATCCTCCAACGCAGCAGCGAGAGTGAGGTGTGTGTCGAGACCACACGTCTAGAAGACTCGCGTGGCAAGAGGGGTGCTCAGGGAGGCTGCGCAGGAAAAGGCTCTGCTACCTCCTCCCTATCCTCTTCATCCTCCTCTTCTTCTTCATCTTCCTCTTCCTCCTTGGAGCTACTGAACAGGGTGGAGTCTCGCAGCTCCAGCCAGCTTTCCTGGCTTTCAGTTTCTATGGACGCAGCCTTGGGCTGCAGGACAAACATTTTCCAGATTCAGCGAGCATCCGGTAGGAAGCATGCTGACCGGCATTCAGCTGGGGGCTCTACAGGGTCTGGAACACTGGGAGCAGTGTCCGGCGCTGCCACAAGTGTCACGTGTGCTGGAGGTGGAGGTTCCACTGTCCACATCCACCCACAAGCTGCTCCAGTAGTCTGTCGACACGTGTTGGACACACTCATCCAGCTAGCCAAGGTGCAAATACACCTATCTGTATCTACATCAGAAGCATCCTCTATTGTGTGTTTGAAAACAAATGTCATTGAGTTGTAATAATTGAAGTCTTTTTGTTTTGTCTGTGTCTGCAGGTGTTCCCCAGCCACTTCACCCAGCAGCGCTGCAAGGATCTGTCAACATCTTCTTCTGATCTAGACTCTCGTCTTTGTTCAATCACCTCAGTGGTTGCAGGTGGGGGCTCCAGGTCAGGGTCTCTAGGTAACCCAAGCTCCAATGCCTCAAACACCCAGAACTCATTTGGCACCACTGCCGCTACTCTCCAGTCTCTGGGAATCTCCACTGATTTCTGGGACCTGCTGGTCAAGCTGGACAACATGAATGTCAGCCGAAAGGGCAAAGCCTCTATGAAGACAGTGCCTCTGGGGGGCAGTGCAGAGGCTGAGGGGGCTCAGTTAAGCCTGGAGACCTCCCCACTTGGCCAGCTGATGAACATGCTGTCCCACCCGGTCATCAGACGGAGCTCCTTGCTCACTGAAAAGCTGCTACGTCTGCTCTCCCTCATATCCATTGCCCTGCCTGACAACAAGGCCGCAGAGGTGCCTGCTGGACACCCCACCCCACAGGCTGCCATTCCCACGGCAACCAGCTCAGGAGTCACAGCCCCGGTCACAACACAGGGCGCTGTGTCCACCCTGCCCACTGTGGCAGGCTCAGGGGCCTCTGCGGGGGCAGGAGCCCAGGGTACATCCTCAGGGACAAGTCTGGCAGCCTCCCAGACATCCTTAACATCTATCTCTATCCCCACGTCCACTGGAATCACTTCTACAGGTACTGTTCATTTATTCTATGATAAAAAGTCATCAGTTCATTCACCTATGTAACAGCAATATCAGTAGAAAATAATCATCTGTACTTTTTTGGGCATTTTGCTAAAACAGGGAAACTGAGGATGCCTACTAGCTGTATTGTAGAGATTGACAACAAGCTGGCCTCCAGTGGACTGACAGAGAAACAGCTTCAGCTCTCTGTGGAGGTATGAGAAAAGTGTCATACATTTTCATTTCATGAAATGTGTGTGAACTACCTTTAGGTCATGAGAAATGTAACTTTGCATTATCTTACATTATTACCTCTGGTGGTGCACTACAATACATCACATCAATACAGCATCACAGTAAATGTATAACAGATCAAGTTGTGAAAGAATGTTTGTTTTAAGGTATGGGTTGATGTGGCTTCTTTGAGATTTGAGGGGATGTTTTGAGTTCAGCCTTTTTCTCCAGGACATTTGAACAGTTTGCAACCGGCTGGTTGAGATTGTCAGTATACAAAATGCTGGATGAATACTGACTGACTGTCTCCAGAGGTTTGTGTCTTGAAACAGTTGGACTGTGACACAAAGCCACACTTGTCCTTAGGAGTCTTTACAAAAACTATTGACAAAAACCTTTACACTGTTTTAATCACAAGCCCATTTTTCTTGCCGTGTTTCTTTCACCAAATGCATTTAATAAATAATCCCTTTTTTAGAATGATTTTTTTTTTCTCTTAATAACTGCTTTCCTCCTGCAAGGTGTTGACATCCCACTCGTGTTCAGAGGAGGGTCTGGAGGATGCTGCTAACATCCTGCTGCAGTTATCTAGAGGAGACGGTTCCACTAGAGACACGGTGCTCCGACTGCTGCTCAGTGGGGCAAGACACCTCGGATACACTCTTTGCAAACAGATCGGTCAGTGCTAGGCGACTACAACGATGGAGAATCTAATGCTGTCATTCAAGCAAATGTAATTGTCTTTGAACACTTTTTCCTTTTGTCTCTCAGGCACATTGCTGGCTGAACTTAGAGAATACAACTTGGAGCAGCAGAGACGGGCACAAGCTGATTCCCATTCCCCGGACGCCACCCCTGAGGATACCTCTCTCACTGGCAGACTGAAGAACAAGATGACCAGCAGGTTAGCCATGATGGTTCTGGGCCCCCCAGTGACTTTAGGGTGTCAACACATTTGCAATAGAGAATGTGGTATTCTCATTCTGTAATTAAATTAGCCTTAATATTCCTGTAGGAAGTTTTTGCATGAAAGTTAGTTTTCTACAAATACAATTTCCTTTACCTTGTTTGCGTTTGTTGGTTGGGGCACAGGTTTGACGGATCCGAGAGTGTGGTCATTGTGGCTGCACAAAAACGTACACTCGGGGGCCGTGAGCTACAGCTCCCCTGTATGAGCTCACTCACCTCCAAGACGTCCACACAGAAGTTCTTCTTGCGAGTGCTGCAGGTCATCATCCAGCTCCGCGAGGACACACGGCGCGCCAACAAGAAAGCCAAGCAAACCGGCAGACTAGGCAAGAAAATGTCCCACCCTTTCTCTTTTTGATGTCTTCTTACACTATCCTGGTAATCTAATGAAACACCCCTCCTCCCGCTCTAAACGTCCAGGCTCCACCAGTCTAGGCTCAGCCAGCAGCATCCAGGCGGCGGTGCGTCAGCTGGAGGCCGAGGCTGACGCCATCATCCAGATGGTGAGGGAGGGTCAGCGGGCCCGCCGGCTTCAACAGGCGCCCCCACCCACCGCCTCTTCTGCATCTGTCGCCGCCGCTGCCGGATCCTCAGTGGTGGTCCCCCATGCCCCCACTGGTGCTGCCCCCCCTGCTGGCACGGCTGCTGCTGCTGCTGCTGCCACGGTTAGCATGGGCTACACTGACAGCAGGCATACTTGTACTCACACACACCGCACACACTTACAGTAGTAAACAATGCATATTGATTACTTAATATGACCATCACAATTGTATTGTTTCAAAATACTATAGTAATCATCAAGGATAATGATATGAAAGGACCCTCACACTCCAACATGCCTTTTGTCTAATCTGGCTTTGCCTGTACTAGCTTTGTGCGTTTCTGGAAAATGTTAAGCTTACCCATTAAATTAAATCCATCTTATTTTGAAGATAATGACAGTTTAATGACAGTTTAACAAAACGATTAATCGGGCGATTATTTCATCGATTAGTCGACTAATCTAACGATTATTTTTCTGTTGTTCGATTTATAAAAAACATAATGTATCTCAAATAAATACCAAAAAACATTACTTCATTCATGACAACTGCGCACCAGCTTACGTGCAGCCCCGGCCTGGACATTGCTTGGCTCCGTTAGTTGACATACATTGATACTATAAGCTGACTAACGTTAGTCTAATGTTATGTTTGACTCGTAAACGACCACAACATGAGTTAGCTCTCTGTGCAGTTTGTTCGTTCCGGGTTAGTAGCGGCTAGATAGCGGTGTTCTGCAGACGTAAACTAGCTACCATTCCATCCAACATTAAATGCTGACAAACGTTAACTAACACACAGCTGGCACCGCTAGCTAGGTAGCTAACATTAATAAATTCAATTTGAAAGACCTAGGGCGAGATGTTTTTGTTTGGGGGCTTTTTGCAGGGCTTCGTGCGCAATCCTGTGAGGAGGAGGTGGTAGCCGTTTCAGTCTCCATAGTGTTTAAAGTGCGATTGCGAACTGCTTGTTGTTGTTTTGGGTGACCCACGTGTATGTGGCGATGCGTCGACGAGGAAATATGTCGTCGACGATATTTTGAAGTCGACGCATCGCTACGTCACTAGTATCTGTAAACAACATTATGCACTGCGTAGTCACCATACAGCCTGCTATCTCAACTGGTATGCGTGGTCAGAACTGCTGCCATGATAAACATTGGACTAGTCACAGAGGGACAGATGTGCCAGTGACTGACTGAAACCTATATCAATAACTGCATCCATGTGTGAAATGGTTTAGAAATGAATGTGCTGCCTGCTCCAAACGGTTTGATCTGTTCTACTGATGATGTCTGTTTGCTGGCTGTCATGGCTTCATGCTTGCGGCCCCTCCTTCCTCAGTTCCAGTTCCCCTCCTCTCTAAGTGGATCATGGGAATGTCATTATGCATGGCAATATCATCAAGATGGTTACTGTGAAAATGAAAAATGCTAATCATTAAGACTTCCATGTTTTACGCCTGTTGCTCATTCTGTGTCTCCTTCCTGGTTTGTTTCATGTAGTCTGAAGTGCAGTCAATGTCAGAAGCCCAGGCGGCCCAGAGAGATGAATCTCCCATGGATGTGGACCAGCCATCTCCTCTGGATCAGGACCCTGCACCTCTGGGTAGGACTCACTTGCAAACGGCTAAAGATGATTTAAAACGCCTTCTGATTTTGTTTTTGTCACAAAAACAAACATCTAGTGAGAACACGGCATCGCCCCTGTTCTGATATGAACTCAAAACATTTTTTAGCCAAAGAAATGACAGCTCCAGTCAGTTCATGACAGCATAGCTGATGTAATGTCTCTGTCAATTTCATTTTCAGATGAGGATGGAAACAGCCAGTCAGAGGGTGAGGAGAGACTCCCAGACCTCCCGCTGCTCAGCGAGCAGCTGTTGTTGGATGAACTATGGGACATGCTCGGGGAGTGCCTGAAAGAGCTGGAGGAGTCCCATGACCAGCATGCCGTACTGGGTTAGTGGAATCCTTTTGAGAAATGCATTTCTTGATGCTGTTTTTTATTGATCAGGATTGTTAAAGGAGCATGGCGCAAAGATTTGTCCCCCTAATTATGTTTTCTTTGATTCTCCAGTCCTCCAGCCCGCTGTAGAGGCCTTCTTCCTCGTCCATGCAACGGAGCGAGAGAGCAAACCCCCAGTGAGGGACACCCGGGAGAGCCAGCTTTCTCACATCAAAGATGAGCCCCCACCACTGTCCCCAGCCCCCCTGACCCCGGCCACACCTTCATCCCTAGACCCATTCTTCTCCAGGGAACCATCCTCTATGCACATCTCTTCCAACCTGCCACCGGACACCCAGAAGTTCCTCCGCTTTGCTGGTGAGCCTGACGGATTGAATTGAGGAGAATCATACCGCTTGGTTCTGATTTGTAATGAAGTTTCTAACAGGACCATTCTTCTTTCTTTTAGAAACTCACCGCACAGTGCTTAACCAGATCCTGCGCCAGTCAACAACTCACTTGGCTGATGGGCCTTTTGCAGTTCTGGTCGACTACATTCGCATCCTGGACTTTGACGTTAAGAGAAAGTAAGGGCGATTATCTCACACTTTAATCTCACACCGTCTAATGTACCGTTATTGGTTTTTCAAATCACTGACGAACTGTTTTTGTTCCTGCCAGGTACTTCCGGCAGGAGTTGGAGCGACTGGATGAAGGGCTGAGGAAGGAGGACATGGCTGTGCACGTGAGGAGAGATCACGTGTTTGAGGACTCCTACAGGGAGCTGCATCGCAAGAGCCCAGAGGACATGAAGAATAGGCTGTAAGGCTCCATTTTCATTCCTTCACTTGCATGTCCTCTCAATTCTACACTACTCCAACCAAATCATCCTCTGCTCCCTTTCCGTTCCAGGTACATTGTGTTTGAAGGGGAGGAGGGCCAGGATGCCGGCGGCCTGCTGAGAGAGTGGTACATGATCATCTCCCGGGAGATGTTCAACCCCATGTACGCTCTGTTCCGCACATCGCCAGGCGACCGTGTCACCTACACCATCAACCCCTCATCCCACTGCAACCCCAACCACCTCAGCTACTTCAAGTTTGTGGGTCGTGTGGTGGCCAAGGCAGTCTATGATAACCGGTTATTGGAGTGCTACTTCACCCGCAGCTTCTACAAACACATCCTGGGCAAGAGTGTCAGGTATTGTAGCTAATGTTACAGCCAAGTCACCTAATATTTAAAGATGTGTTCCAACACTCTATGCCTTGTGATTGCAATATTTAGTAGTATTTTCTCTTGAATATGTGCCTGTTATAAATGTATTTCTTTGGTCTTACCAGGTACACAGACATGGAGAGCGAGGACTACCCATTCTTCCAGGGCTTGGTGTACTTGTTGGAGAATAATGTGTCAACGCTGGGCTACGAGCTGACATTCAGCACAGAGGTTGGTGTCTTCTATTCTCTTAAATGTTTCAATTAGCTTCAAGTGCAGCATTGATTTATCACGCTGTCTCCTTAACTGGTGAAATTTGGATTTGGCCTCGAGGGTTTGAATCCCAAATGCTTTATTCTCTCTTAAAATAAGTGCTGCGAAAATGTAATTTGCAATCTGATGGCCTTAAAATATTGTTAATGGATACCATCTGTGGCTCGTAGTCAAATGTTAAGCTGAAACGAGTGACACTGAAAGCCTGCATGTGCTCTGTGTGTGTAGGTCCAGGAGTTTGGAGTGTGTGAAGTGAGAGACCTCAAGCCAAATGGAGCCAATATCCTGGTCACAGAGGAAAACAAAAAGGAGTATGTGCACCTGGTCTGCCAGATGAAGATGACAGGTAAGAGTGTGATTCTATTACCTAATACTTTATTAGCAGTAGAGCTGTAACAATACAGGGGATTACTGACAAAAACAACTATTTAATGCAATATCTTTTAATCAGCATCCGTCATTTTTGATGTTCAGGCGTTGATGATTCTCAGTAGTGCACAAAGATAGCACTAGGTGGCAGCACTCTTAAATGTTGAACTAATCAATATGCAGCAGAGGCTAAAAGTGTCTCTCTCTGCAAGATGGCTGAATTATCATAAGCAGCACCCTCCAGCTGCTCGTATGCATTATTCAGTAAAGCTTTCAATTTCCAGATGTTTCATTGAAAAACAATAACCACCAACTTAATTGATAGAATAACGTTAGTTATGTGCTTAATGAAGAATATACTTCACTTGTTTTCTAGGTGCAATCCGCAAGCAGCTGGCAGCGTTCCTCGAGGGATTCTACGAGATCATCCCCAAGAGGCTGATCTCCATCTTCACCGAGCAGGAGCTGGAGCTGCTCATCTCCGGCCTGCCCACTATTGACATCGACGACCTGAAGGCCAACACTGAATATCACAAATACCAGGCCAGCTCCATCCAGGTACAGATGAGTAAATAAGTGTACAACATTAATATTTCAATGTTTTCCAATACATTTCCAGATTTCTGCACATCACCTCGAGCTCAGTACAACTGATAGTCCGATTTTATTTGTGGAGAATTTCCCTCAAAATGTTATTGTTTTCCCTTAGATCCAGTGGTTCTGGAGGGCCTTGCGCTCCTTTGACCAGGCAGACCGGGCTAAGTTCCTACAGTTTGTCACCGGCACGTCCAAGGTTCCCCTTCAGGGCTTCACTGCTCTGGAGGGCATGAACGGCATCCAGAAGTTCCAGATCCACCGCGACGACCGCTCCACCGACCGCCTGCCATCCGCTCACACCTGGTAAACACTGCGATATTGCAAAGCATGCATCATTTGAACTATGTTGTAAAAATGTCTATTGTGAAACTAACTTTACTTGTTTCCATTTTTTCCACTCAGCTTCAACCAGCTGGACCTCCCAGCCTATGAGAGCTACGAGAAGCTGAGGCACATGCTGCTGTTGGCCATTCAGGAATGCTCAGAGGGATTCGGACTGGCTTAAATATGAGACTCTTAATACACGCAGACATGCATACAAACACTTGATTTAGATTTGCCTACTCCTGACACATTCACACTGATAACCTTTGAATGCACACACACACACACACAGACACATACACACACATACACACACCACACCTCGTACACATACCACACCTCGTACACACACTCACACACTATCATAGATCTTACTGGATTTCTTGTTGACCGGCCTAAACTTACTGGTTTCTATTCCATATTAAACAGATAAAACCAGCAAGTGAAATGGACTGATTGACATTGCGTACAACACAGAGAGCCTCATGTTGACACAGTTGTGTCTCCCTTCCCAATTAAATGGCGAATGCAAGAGCGGATTCAGAGGATAAAACATGGACTAATATAAGAGACGTTTTCTTCATATAGTTTGAGTTCTCTGTACAAAAGGTTTGGGAGTTTATTATGTTTAATCTTTTTTGTTCTCTGGTTGTGTAAAAAGAAAAAAAGAGAATGTTGTTTGAACAGGATGGTTATAAAACCTTTGGGGAAAAATGTTTGTGGTTTCTTGTTGCAAATTTGTGCCCTCACAAGCCTTGGTGCTGGGGAACATTTGGGGTATATGAACAACTTGAGAAGTTTGAGATATTCACAAAAATGCACTTTTCAAAAGTTGTGGCATTTCTATGGAAGGATGGTTAAAAAATGAAGAGAGAACCTGAAGAAGATTAAAAAAAAAACATTAACCATAAATCTAGAGTATTTTTGGCTATTAAATCGCTGACCCGGCCTTGGGCCTTTGAATCAGAGTGGAATAACTACATGAATAAATGCATAAAATTGCGTCCATTGTCTCTTTTAACAGTGTTATAATCATTACTTGCAGCGGTTCCATTTCATCAAAATTGAATGTTATTCTGTGTGTAATCACACCAGTTTCAATAGAAATATTTGTCAACTTGCAGTGTAATGATTATCAAGAGAGATCCCAATGATTCTACGACAACTTTAATCAATCCAAGTTTAAACTGACATTGATTCCTGCGGGGGGGATTGTCCCTCATGACGAAATCGATCAAGTTCAGTAACATCATGAGTTATGACTGATACCATCCTGGAGCACATTTATCATGCGCTGCCCCAAGCCTATAGGGTTAAACAATCAGGAGCTGTCATTTCCCTGCTGACACTGCTAACTAAGCCCTCCAGTCTGTAACACTTGTCTGTACCCTTCATTATGGCACACAGTGTCCTTTTGCTGAATCATGACAGACTTATATTTCTAGTCTTGATAGGGCCAAAAGTGTATTTGACTCAGGGTGTTCATGCCACACATCTTGGATGGCAAGTGACCTTTTTCCCAGCAGACATGTCCGCTGTACTAGCACAGGGGAACTAGTTAAGAATGACAGCATGCCATTTTGGTGAGCTAGTTCCAGGGTCCTGGTTTTGCACACCAATTTGTGTCACCTTTAGTTTTTCTGCTATGACAAGTCAACATTTCTGCAGTGATAAGGTGTTTCACCTGCCTTGTTTCACCAGACAAGGACTGAAAATAACGGTGTGATATATCTCCATTTCCAGATATGAATCCAAAGGACCAAACGCTCTAGTATCAGGTTCTACCAGCTTGTAAATCTTTCACGGTCTGTTTTTATTCCTTCCTAAGTTCTTCCTACTTATTAGTTGGCTAATTTAAAAGTATTGCTTAAACCTTCTCTTAGTTGAACTTGCATTAACTTTCACTGAGTCTGAATTTAAGAACTGCCGGTTAAACTGGCACATGGAAGTAATTTTACATTTTATTTTGTATTCTATTTCAATATTAGGCAATTTATACATCCGACCAACAAACACAATTTGTAGAAGCGGTTGGGCAGAAAGCATAGCTTAGAAGTAGCCCTCCCGTTAGTCATCCAGTTGCAGGAAAAAGAGAAATCAGTAATTACATACGCACACAAATGTCAATTAATGTCTTGGATTTTTTTTAAACCAGGGATTTAAAACTGATTATATTATTTCCTATTTGTAACCACAATACTCAGCTACTTCTGTTAGTTTGTCCTCTGGGTTTGCTTCCCTGAGTTTGGCTCTTTGCTCCTCGACTAAAGGCATGTCTGCAGTTTGCACCTGTCAGTCCCTGGTCTTCTCTCAATCTTCCCCTGTGTTTCCATATTTTACCTGCTCTTCCGTGCTGAATTTGTTCCACTTGGAGGCCCTGTGCAACAGTAGAAATGGAATCCGTGCTGCTCTGCTGCCTCGCTGACCCTCCCCCACCCAACCTAAAAACCCTCACACTGGTTTCAGAATGGGGAGCGTCCATGTCTGATTTGGTGCTTCTTGAGGCGTGATAAATGAAATTACAGTGCTGTCATGCAGAGATTTTAGACCCCACAGTAAGCCCTGTTTACAGTACATTTGCTAGCAATGTTTCCCCCCCCCCCCCTCTGTGTATGAAGCAGCACAGATGCAATTTTCTGTTGGCCACGCTTGATTTACATATTCTGTAAGCATCTGTTGCTTTTTGGATGCTTTGATTTGCAATTAAAGACGATGATGTCATTCAGGGAGTTTGGCTGGGAAAAAGATTTCACAATACATTTCCTCACTAATGGGTTAACTTTCTGCTACTCGGGGGATTTCCTGTCAAAAAACATTCTGTTGCAACTTTTACTGAATATATTTCCTGTAGCTGTCAGTTAGAGATGGAGATATCTGTGGTGCTGCCAGAGGAGCTGTTGCAGTGCACCGTGCCGGCCTCTCCACTTGGGGGGGATCATCAGACTGCTCAGAGTGAACAGGATGGTCCTTGTCACGCTTTCTCCATGTCACTGCATTCTGGTTTCCAGCGAAATCACACATGTTTTTCCATTTCATGCTCTGGGGGAAATTTGGGGATCACCGTTATAAGAATTGAAATCATTCGGATGTTTGTGGACCCTTATGCCTTGAGCCTGCATGTTAGTAATCATGTGACAAATTCAGAATATGTCACACTATGGTACCTTAGCTTTGTCATGCTCCAAGATAAGATAATATATGGCCAAATTAATTGCTTAAAAGGTTGAGAAAATCAACTGGAGAGTGTGGCAATGACATGTTGGTAGTAAACTGAGTTCCCGTATAACAGCAGTCCGTCCTCATCAGTGATAGTGGAGCTGGGGAGGAAATGAAGGCCAGTGGAGTTGATTAATAATGACTTCTTTGTATATGAGCCAGACAGCTCCCAGCCTAATACATTTTACTGCTGCTGTCTCTGAAATAAATCAAAACATTGCTCCCAGAGAGAAATAATAAAAAGCTTCTTTAGCAAAGAGCCCAAACGGGCATGGGGACAGAATGAGTTCATTAGAGTAATTGGTTTAATGTTTCTAATTAGCTAGAGAGATATTTATACTGAAAGAAATTGATCATAGTGCTTAACCCTTTTTTTGCAGAATTCATCATCCACTTCTACTCCTTCTCAGTTTCTTTATCCTCAGAATCCTTTGGAGGGGAAAGGTGAGAATTGCAGAGGGAACCAGTTGCTATTTACAGGGTGCGATCACCACTCTGACAGCCTGCTATTGTTTCTTCCAATTAGCACAGTGGGGTTTATTCAGAATAGATGTTCCAAATAGAATGCTTCCCTGTGGCAACTTGATAATCACACTCTGTTTGCATGTTGTGCTTTGTCACATTTCTTTGCAAAGTCTTGAAGTAAATGTTATGTGTAAATGTGAACCCTGTGCTCCTAATGCAGAAAACTCGATAAATGAAGGTGGACAGGAGCAGCCCTCCGTTTTGACAGCAGTGTGACGTGTTGGGGAGGGTGTTATGTTCTGTTGTGAATCTGTCGGGTTTGTCAGCGCCTCCTGATCAGGCTGCTATCTCTGCTCTGCCTGCGAGGACCAGGATGTGAGCGGCAGAAAAAACTGAGAAGACACATTTGCCTTCACATTCTTTCAAGTACTGGTATTTGTGTGCATTGGTGTGCGTTTTGCCCTTCAGGAGAAGAGTGGAGAGTCAGCTGTAGGAAAAGATGGCTCAGGTGCATGGTGCATAGGATGGCCTTTGGTCACTGACACATGTGCAGAGACCGCTTAGTCCAGACCCAAACCAGTAGTGACAGTCTGTCTACTGTAGTGTAAAGGTCATAGTCTTGATTACTTCTGAGCTTCCAAGCATCTCTGTTCCCTATATATTTACCACAATGCATCTGCAACCCCCTCCGCTTCCCCTCCCATCAGTGGCACAGCAGTGGGCACCTTGTGGCATTTTATAGAAGCAAAGCCAGTGCAAGATAATTCAGCCCCGTCATATTGCAGATCATCTAATGCGGTCAACTGCTGAAGGTTATCTTTGGGAAAGTAATATTGTTGAGCCCCTGAGGGAGATGTAATAATGCAGGAGGCAATAACTGCAATAGGAATTTGATGGCAGCATCTGAATGGAACCGCTTATGGATCTAGCAATGGGAATCCTCACAGTGCTCTTCTCTTGGTGGCCCTTTCATGGCTACCTCACTAATAGTGCACTCCGCTCTGCATCGGCCAAACGGCTCGCTACACCAGCACTGCGAGGGGGACCCAAGTTAACATCAGCAAAAACACGTCGGTTTGCTATCCTGGCTCCAAAATGGTGGAATAAGCTCCCCGTTGAAATCAGGACAGCAGATAGCTTACACATCTTCCGGCGCAGACTGAAAACTCATCTCTTTCGACTCCACTTCGAGTGATAGAATTACTCACAAAGAATTGCTAAAAAAGCACTTACAGTATATACTAATAAAGGACTGGCTTATCTAAAGCCAGTTGAGTAGCACTTGAAATGTTTTGGCTCTATGAAACCTGATGTACTTATATGATTCTGTTTTCTTCAAGTTTGTATCTTCCTCGTCGAATGCACTTATTGTAAGTCGCTTTGGATAAAAGCGTCAGGTAAATACAATGTAATGTAATGTAATAGAAAATGCTATCATGGGATGATGCAAGTGTATTATAATACAAGGTAGGGGACAGCAAAGGGTCATTTATAGAAAAAATCCTTGAAGAGAAGTGAACTAGTTAGTAGCACAGCCACTGAATGCTTGGTAACAAAATCTATGCAAAACCATATTTGAATATCAATGATGACATTTTGAGGATGTGTAATCTGCAAATTGCCATTTTCCCTCCGCCTGAATGCCAACACTTTGATCCTCCGACAACAACAACAGTTTATCTTTGATGATGCTCTAACCTTTGGCGTACCACTGCACATTTGGCCTGAGGCTGACTCATTGCTATTTACATGCAGTTAACATGCTTAATGAGATGTGTTCTGGTGAGTGAAGTGCTGGTCATATCTGGCAGCCAGGCCACTAAGCATGGCAGGAAACTAAATCAGAGTCATTTCCCTTCAATTAGCGAGTGATTAACGGCAGGTCAGAAGCGGCTGGCTGACCTTCTGGCCACTAATGACTTTACCCGGATCAATGGATCTCCAATCGCCCGCCACATCAACAACCGTGCAGTCAGGGTAAGACCCTGTAGGAGCAGAGGGTTGTTGAATCCACCTTTAACCAACCATTTCTCACTTATGCTCTGTCGTTGGCCTCTATTTTACTTTGTGGCTCCAAGCACTTCCTCCATACTCAACATGTTCGTAATTTAATCTTTGTTTACTGTGAAATGTTCCTCACCATTTCTCAGAACTAGCAGACCTCTGGACTTGTGATAATCAATTTTAATGTTATTATTATATCCCCAATTCATAACAGAGGTTATCTCAGGAGACCTTTTATATAGAGCAGATCCATTCGTACTCCTAATGGGATTATTTACAACAATACCAACAATGCAGTAAAAGCAGTGTTACTAATA